TAGACGCTAGTCGCATATAGCAGGATAGTGGAACAAGCAACAGGCTGGCTCCAATGCGAATGTGGACGGTCATCAATTCCTCGTCGAGCTTGCCGAGAAAGCCTTGTGCCCGTCCCTCGCGCCAGCCTGTGGGTTCGCGCTCAACCAGGAATATCTTCACATATTGGATGTCGAATCGCAGCCGCTAACTTGAAGACATGCCAAGTCTGAACGAACAGAAGGGCGCGCCCGTCTTGTAATATTCCGTGGGCGCACTATGGGAGGCTCGAGGCGTAGGTCCAAGGGCAACTCGGGAATAACCACTTTGCGGATGTTCCGTGACTCCACCAACTCGGCTGCGCGTAAGAGTGACCCTGGGAAAGAGTGACCTTTGGTGCGCGGCTTTTTGGGGGCCGCGGGGGGGCCAAACACAAGCGCGCAAGTCGCCACTGCCGCCTCGCGTTCGGCGATCGTGGACCCCAATGGGCCCGCACCAAAAGTCACTCCGCGAAGGGTTACTCTTACGTGTAGTCGACCAAAGGTGTGCCAAGTAGATGCCGGTCAACTTGCTGAAGATCAAGCTGTGGCCTGGATGCGGTTCGCAGAGAGCCGCCTCGAGGATACCCAGTGGCTTCGCCAAGCATGGCTAGACGTTCTCTCGTCTGCCTCCATAGCTTTGCAGATGCCTGCTCGCCGAGAGCCGCCTGGCAAACATCATGCGATTCCACTGTTGAAGGCTCGGTCTCCTCGCATGCCCCCCGTGGAGTTCCAGATGCTGTAACGTTGAGGCATGCGGAGCAGACTAAGTGCTGCTCGTTAAGCTTGACCTTCTTGTGCGAATCCACGAGCCATGGCTCTGCGTTCCCTTGTACCCTAATAGTCTTGCAGACGCTGTCCACTTGTCGACGCTGGAGGCGTGTCTCGCGTGCGGCTCAAAAAGAGAGCCGCCCTGAGTACATCCCGTGACTCCGTCAGTGGCTGGCTCCACCGCCTCGTCTGCCCCCATGGCTCATGTTCCAAGTGCTGCGCTCGTTGAGCCGCCCTGAGGGTGGTCCTCGACTCCGCCGATCATGGCTCCACCTCTCGTTTGCTCAGTCCCTTTAAATGCCGGGCATCTTTGCTTAGGGCTCCCAACTTCGAGCTTCGCGCTCCACCAAGCGCGAATAACTTCGCGCTCTCGCGCCGCCCCCCTAAAGGGAGAAAAGGGGGACGAGGAGGAGGGGGAGAAGGAACGAGGACCGCGAAGCGCGAATAGCTTCGCGCCCTCGTGGGAGCCCTTGTTTGCTGAGGCTCAAACCGTGGTACGTGTGCCGCTCGCCCAAGTCCGCCTTGGAGGTGCCCGCTGGCCCTGCGCGTGCGAAGCCCGGCAGCCCTCCATGCCGCACAGGGCCCCGCGGATGCCTGCTGCCACTGCTGAAGCTCAGGGCGCAATCGGGGGGCGCTGCTCGCGAGGACTCCGCCGCTGGAGCCTCCTTCGCGCGCCCCTCCAGAGGAAAAAGAACTATGCACACACACACACTGATTCTGGCCAGGCCTATCCTGAGCCCAGGATCGGTGCATACGCCCTCCTACCTTGGCCAGGAGGGCATATGCACCGATCATGGGTCAATGATGGGCCTTGCCAGGATCGGTGCATGTGCATGTGCATGTGCATGACCCCGCCTCACGGATGCTGGTAAGATGGTTGGGGCTCATGGCGCCAAGTGCTGCCTGCGAAGAGCTGCTCTGCGGACGTCCCGTGGCTCCACCGGGAACAGCGGCGCCAGCTTGGAGCGTAACACTGGCTCCCGTGGCAATCGGCAGAGGGACGAGCCGATGTGTGCTCATTCTCACGATGCGGCAAACGTCGCAGCCGGAGGGATGACCCGATTTGCGCCAGAGGGACGACTCGAATTCTCACCGGATATCGGCACGTATGATCAAAGAAGCTGCCTGCGCCAACATCCGAATCGACCCTCTAAATCTCCATGCCCCCATGATGCTGGCCAGCTCGCCGAAGCTCGAGGCGTACTGCGGGTGTCCTTCGCGTAGCGCCGCCCTGGGAACGTACCCCATGGCAACGCTTACCCGAGCAGTTGATCTCGGCTGGGCACCGTAGACAGCACGGCCTAGATCTAGACTTCACAGGTGCAGATACGATCCAGTCCTTTGTTGCGCTTCGATGCTGCGCACGCCTTCTCGCACTAGCTTCTACCGAATCTAGATCGCACGGACAACGCAGGCGACGGTGGTCAATTGGATGACGAGGGCCAATGTGTGCGACGGCTAGTCGACTGGATCGAGGCGAGAAAATATAACCCACAGTAGACTCATGATCCTCTCCTCGTCCGACTCCGCCCACTCATCCCGCCCCAGACATCCAATGTTCAGCACTGTCTTGAAATTCAGTCTTATCTTTCAATATGTTGAATGTTTGAGGCCCTTCCTCCTCCTCCTCCTCCTCCTCCTCCTCAACTCCATCCTCGTGCTCGTCACTCTCACAGGCTTCCCCGAACGAGCCTGCAGCGTCGAAGCATGTCCTTTTCAGTGTCGACTGCATCCAGTTCGCGTGCACCGACACGACCTCACTCCGCTGGAGGAGGAAGACAGGCACATCGTTAGGATACACATGTACATACAGATACATGTGTATATCTACATCTGTACAACGCAGATACACGCCAGACCACCGTGGTCTTTTACCCCATGCGCCTCTGCCTTTCAAGTTCCGCATGCAGCGGGTATATACAGACGTACATGTACGTGTGCATATATATATATATTAAATATGCACATACTTGCATGTATACGATACCGATGCATTTATGCCTCTACACGTGCACATAATCGTTCACATGTCTACATCGAGCGCCTATATATCAAGAAATTAAGCTATCAATCTTTATGGTATCGTTATCGTTCTTGTCGCTATACATTGTTTTCCTTCTCCCTTTTCTCATGCTTCTGATTCCCATAACCATGATCGGAATTCCTTGCTTTCCTTACAGCTTTCTGACTGAGTCTCCTCCTTGAAGGGACTCTTGGGGGCCTCACGACAGATTCTTAGCGGTTTCTGAAAAGCCCCTGGAGGCCTCCTGGGCACGTTTTGGGGACCTCTGGTTGCTTCTTGGGGCCATCTTGCTGCCAACCACGGTCTCTCTCAACGACTGGACCACGAGGTGGAATGCTTTGGGGGGCGTCTTGGGGCTCATGGCTTCGGTTCGTCTTAGGGCCCTGTTGGGTTGTTTTGGGAATCCCTTCGACTTTCTGGATGCCCTTCTGGCCCGTTTTGGTGCAACGCATGGGGCCTCTTGGGCGGCCTCGGAAGGATGGAATACCGAATAATCCAATACCCCCCAATCATTCGCCACCGTGCCTCTGGACACGGAATGGGCGTGTCCTCAGGTCCTTTGCCCGATCCCCTGAGCCTGATTCCTGTCACGTGAAAATTTTAAGAGGGCCAGGACCCCAAATTCTCTTGGGCTTGGCGCGTCTTCTCGCGTGACTGTTTCGGGCCCACGAGGGCCTCAAGACGAGCCCAGAGGGTCCCAAGAGGCCTCCAAGACAGCCTCCACAACCCGGGCACGGTGGCGGGATGGGCCGAAAGCCATTCGATCCGCCGCCCCCTGCTTGCAGGGGTGCCTGGCGTGTTAGATTTTATCGGTTTTGGTTTTGGTTCTTTTTCTAAAAGAACTCCCCAGTGGGCTTCGGCCCGTCCCGCCGGCCACCCGGAAAGGATGCCCAGGAGCTCAATTCCCCAATTTCCTGCCCCAGACGGTTCCAAGATGGCCTCCAAGATGCCTCTAAGACGGCCAGGATGGTCTCTAAGACGGCAAAGATGGCCTTATGATGCCTCCAAGACGGTCCAAGACGGCCTCCAAAACGGCCCAAGAGAGTCCAAGACGGCCCAAGACGGCCCAAGAGGCCCCCCAGAGGCCTCCCAGACGGCCCAAGAGGCCTCCAAGAGGTCCTCCAGGAGAGTCCGAAGAGGCCAAAATCATTGATTTTCCTTGGTTTTTGAAGGATTTTGGCATTTGCGCCTTTTCGGCTCTCCGACGGCTCAAGACGGCCCAAGAAGCCCCCAAGATCGCCCAAGAGGCCCCCAAGAGAGCCCCATGATGGCCCAAGTGGCCTCCAAGATGGCCCCTAGAGGGCCCCAAGAGGGCCCAAGAGGCCTCCAACACGCCCAAGATGGCCTCCCAGACGCCCAAGATGGCCTCCAAGACGGCCCTGGAGCATTCCAAGCGGGCCCCAAGTCGGCCCATAGAGGCCCCCCAAACGGCTTCCGACGGCTTCAGACGTGCCAGGAACCCACCAAGATGGCCGAAGTTGGCTCGAAGCTGGCCCGAGACGGCCCAAAAAGCCCCAAAGATCGCCCAAAGCTTGCCCAAGAGGCCTCCAAGACGGCCAAGATGACCTTCAAGATGCCCACGTGTTCCCCGAAGGCTTTCCAAACCGATTCGGGGAACACGTGGTCCGATAGCTTGGCAGGTCTGGCCTCAACGTTCGGCCACATAGGCGCTTCCAAAAAAGCAGGGGGCGGCGGTGATTCGCCGTAGGCGTCTTCGATACGAAACCGTGAGGAAATCCACGTGTCCCGAGTTCGCACTCCTCTTTTTTCGGGTACTGAGACCCAGGCGTGGCGCGCCTGCAATTCCGCATCGGCAGCGGGGCCGGCGGCCCACCCTGGAAGTCCTGGTCGGACAGCGCTCCAGGACATGTTCGGAGGAGGCCGAGGCTGAAGGGGGTTAGGAGCAGTGTCGGATGCAGGAGGAGGAGGAGGAGGAGGAGGAGGAGGAGGAGGAGGAGGAGGAGGGAGAGAAGACGACGAGCACCTCGCGGCCGAACAAAAAACTTGGCGCGTACATCGTTGACCGTCGGTCGCCGACGGTCCAAACCGGGGCTGGGCCCATGCCCCCCGTCTCAAAACGGCAGGCTGGAGAGGTGCCACCTTTGCCCTCTCTGGCGCGCCGAGGAGAGGCCTCGGCAACATACGTAACGTAACAACTCAATGTCTTACCCTCCCCCTCCTCCCCCTCCTGTCTCCGAATCCCCTTCCCCCAATTGACCTACAGCGGCCGGAGCACGGCCGACCCCCTACGCGCCGAACAGCAGCGCAACTTAACGATCGAGAGGGCGCGCGCGAGGCCTGAACACCGGCGCCCCGCGCTGCGCCGTCGCGATACTTCCTAGGGCGCCCTTCTTGCGAGCCGCCTGACGGCCGTGGCTGCGATTCTTCTCAGGTACCTGCGCCATCCGAGGAGGAGGAGGAGGAGGAGGAGGAGGAGGCGGCCCAAACAGGCTGCACGGCCTGACAGGAGGCCATGCAGCCTCCCGGGGCGGCATGCGCCAGCACAGACGCCCGGGCGGCTCCGGGCGGAATGGGGTTCGGCGCCAGGGCCCCGCGCCGCGCTTCCCGAAGAAGGCACACGAGCAAAGAGGAAAGAGATGCTGGGGCTGCTCGCAGGAGCAGATGAAGCTAGATCCCTCGTGTTGCTGCCTGCTGGAGCGCGGTACTCTGGGCCACGGTCGACACATCGTTGGCCGACCCCCTACAGAAGATCTGCAGCCCACACGCCCGAGAGCACAGCCGCCAGGAATGCAGGCACTCCGCGCCCCGCGGGCCGGACTCCGACCCGAGCGCTCTGCCCAGCTCCGCTCCCGGCCACCCGCGTTCAGACTCCGCGCGCCCGCTCACCTTGCCAGGGACACGCAGACCTGGGTGAGGTCCGTCAGGTCCATTCTGCCGTCCGAGTCCGAGGCCGCGAGCTTCCTGTAGGCATCGTCGGAGAGGCCGAACTTCTTCTTCAGCGCCTTCTCCACAATCTCCTTCTCCCCTCCCTCGATGAAGCCGCTCTTGTCTGCGTCGGCGACCTGGAAGAAGAAGAGGATCGTCTTCAGCAGCGGCACCCTGCGCCCGTAGCGCTCGCTGACGGTGCGCAGGAGGCCCTTGTACTCCTCGAAGCTCATCTTCCCGTCGGCGTTCAGGTCGGAGTCGGCCAGAAGCTGCTGCGAGGCTGCCGTGTCAATGGGCAGCTTCTTCACGGTGTACTTGAACAGTGGGAGGATCTCCTTCTTGCCCTCGAGGAGGCCGCTGCTGTCCAGGTCGGCCCTGCGGAACTTCTCGAGGCTCCTCTCGTCGCTGCGGTCGTGCTCCGCCGCGAGCGCCTGCAGCAGGCTCTTGAAGGCCTCGGCGTCCAGCCTGTCGTCGTCGGCGGACTCCTTCAGCAACGCGTCTAGCTCGGACCGCGGCCCGAACATCACCCGCAAGCCTGGGTAGATCTCGGCCAACTCGCCGGGCTCCACGAAGCCGCTGCCGTCCGCATCGGCCTTCAGGAACAGGAAGTCCAGCGTGCTCGAGTCGGTGGTGGGCACGCCCTCGTGCGCGGCCTCCTCCACCTCCGCGGCGAGGCCGAACTTCGCCTCCAGCTCCCGCGACAGCTCGCGCAGCTCCGCCCCGCGCACGGCCCCGAGGCCCGCGCCGCCCGCCAGCCGGTGCGCTGGGCGGGACGACGCCGTGGCGGGGCACAGTGCCGACACTGCCACGACCCCGCACGCTGCCGTGGCCAAGACACCAAGAACTCGACCACCAAGGCGTGCACGGAGGCCCTCTCGGCCTGAGGCCTTGAAGCCGGTGTTGATCTCTGCACCGCTGTCCACGTCCGTGGGTGGCTCCTCCGTGAGCGGGGTCTGGTTGCCATCGCAGGGCATCGAGCCAGCGACCTCCGAGGCGCGCGCCACCCGAGGAGGTCGCAGCGGGGGGGCGGCGGGCGCGGGCGGGGCGTCCGGCGCGTGCGTGGCCGACTTGAGCCGAAATGGCTACGGAGTCCCGAGTTTGTATTCTCGGAGGTCTTCTGTGGGGCCGCTCGGAGCCGTCGCGGGGCCGCGTGGCCGCCGCTTCCAACTGCTTTCGGCCCCTCGGCTAGGTCCGGCAGGAGCGTCCAGGAAGCCCTGGGGACTCCTCTGCATAGGTCCCAGGGACCAGGGGTCGGGGGGGGTCCAGTTTTGGGTGGGGTCCCCCTGTGGTGCCCTATAGCAAACATATGAGACAGGAGTGGTGAGGGGAAAGGAGAGATGACGAGGGGGGGAGGGGGGCTGGGGGGAGAGGAAGAATCGGGGAGAGTGACTTCTTCTGTGATGCGAATGTAGAAATACGCAATGTACACATCTGCAAGCACACATCCATATTTGTATACATTCACAAGGAGATGGCATACATGTGAGAGGATATTTCGATCTATGACATATAATTACACACATATATGTATATACTAGAACCATCAAGGGCGCTTCGCGCATGCTCAGGTTCTAGCAGGCCCCAGGCCTTGACGAGTTCACTGCTCCACTGATGTAGTGGACCACAGTCCACACATGTCAATCCGAATTCCGGAAGGCTTTCGGGGAAGATGGTTGCGTAGGGGGGCGGAGGCCAGATGAATCGCGTTCCCAGAAGGCCTTCTGGGAACATGGGTTTGGGAGGCGTCTTGGGGAGCCTGTTGGGGCGTGCCGTCGTCTTCGTCGTAATGTCGTCGTCGCCTCTTGGGGCGCGTCGTCGTCGTCGTCGTCGTCCTCCTCCTCCTCGTTTTCGTCGTTTCGTCGTCGTCGTCGTCGTCGGTTCAAGAGGGCACTTGGGGCAACTTGGTGCGAAACGATCTGCGGGGGGCCGCAAGAAAGCGATCAGTCATGTTCCCAATCAACTTCCCAGGCAACTCTCCGGCAGCGTGATGGTACTTCGGAGCCTCCAGAAGCTCTCGGGCCCATGATGAACCATGTCCCGGGAAGGCTTTCTGGGTACATGTTTTTTTTGTTGCTCTGACATTGCTGTGGCAGGCCGAACTTACGGAAGACCACCGTACCTGCATCGGAGGGAGCGCTACCTACGAAAATAAAGAGTTTGAACAATACTGTGCAGGCGGCGATGCACCACAGACCCCATGGCTCTGGGTTCTAGAAGATGCGGGCGCCGAACAATTGGGCGCGCAAGCGCCGACGCGGACGACAGAAATAACAGTGGGGATTTTCAGTTGACAAGCTGTCGCAACACATCTGAACACATGATTTCTGGGTACCCCCCTCCCCCCTTTCTGGGTACATGATTTCTTGGGGTGTGTTGGGGGGCCTATTGGGCGCTACCTGGGGGGCCCCTTGGGGGCTCTGGGAACTCTCGGAACTCTCGGACCCATGATGGACCATGTCCCTGGCCTTTCTGGGGACATGCTTTCTTGGGGTGTGTTGGGGGACCTCTTGGGCGTTCCCTGGGACCCCCTTAAGGGGTCTCTTGGGGCTTCCTGGGGGCCTCTTGGGCGCCTCACGGGGCTTCGTGGGAGCCTCTTGGTGGCCTCCAGGGGCCTACTGGGGGCCTCTAGGGCCAGAGACCTCGAAATATCGGTTGGCGGTCCCCCTCTGGGTCCCGTCTTGGGGCGCTCTTGGGGCACACTTGGGTCGTCTCGGGAGCCTCCTGGGCCGTCTTGGGGCCCTCTTCGGAGCCTCGTGGGCCGTCTTGGAGCGATCTGAAGGGCCTCCGAGGCTGTGTGGGAGCGCTGGAAAGCGGGAAAAGCGAGAACGCCAAAATCCTTCAAAAACCATCGGAAAATTAATGACCTCAGCCTCCCAGGGCCCTCTTGGGGAGCCTCTTGAGTCCGTCCTGGGGCGTGTTGGAGTCCTCGTCGGCTGTCTTGAATGCATCTTTGGCGTCTTCGGGACCTCACTTTTCATAACATACCTCAGAGACAACGGGACAACTTGCCCCAGTTGGCGATCCTGGTTGACCGGCAGCAGAAGTACCGATCACAACAAAAAACCTTACCGTGATGGGCAGCCGGTTGTGGACCGCGCTGGCCGAGGGGTCCAAGCTCAACCGCGTCGGCTCTTGAGCGCCCCCGCCCGTGGAGAAGGGAACGGCCGACGATCCTCACCGTGAGGCCCGTCTCTGGCGATCCGCTGGCCGCACGACGCAATGCCGCGCGACGCGCCCCGACGGCGGGCAGATCCGCGCGCGCCGGGAGGCGGGCGCAGGGCGAGGCCGCCGGGGCGGCGCAGAAGCCGAAGCCGACGAGAGCCCCCAGACCGCCTTCGACGAAGAGGGGGCCCATGGACAGCACCCTGGAGCCCAAGAGCAACTCACACGAAACGAAGCTCAAGCTCAGTCAGATGAGTCGGAGACTTCAAGGCGCCTTCTTGACTCTTACCGCTGCTCAGGCGGCAAAGACCATGGCCTGGGAGGCGCTGCAAGGATGTTCGAAATAAGATCCAGCCAGTGCAGAAAAGCGATTGCCTGGCCTGCACCGAGAACAACGTTAGGGCGAAGCGATACACGCTGCCGAAAATTTCGCGAAGTGATGCAATTGTGGAAGCCATGCCAATGGACACTCTAACAATTCTATCATTGAACTAAATATGTGTTTCAAATGTGTAAAACATGCCCCAAAAATGTTTCAAACATGTTGTTACACATTGAAAACATGTTTGAAACATCCTTTACACATATGGAAATCATTTGGCAGCATGCTTCCTCTCCATTAATCGACTTCCACAGTAATGCAAGGTGCCGAAATTGTCGCGACCCTGGTGATTGTACTTGCACGGCCTGCGCTCTCGGTCGAAATGCCCGGCACTGCACAGGCCCGGCAGGCCCGCCGAGGCGGCCCGCATCTGCTCGCGGAGCTCAACTGGCGGCCTCGGCAACACGACTGTCTCCACGGTGCCGTCGGCACGAGAGGAGCTGGACGAGGAGGGGGGGCTCGGAGGAGGTTTCCTCCTCCTCCTCCTCCTCCTCCTCCTCCTCCTCCTCCTCCTCCTCCTCCTCCAGGGGGGCACCCAGGTGAGCTGGCCCGAAGGCGTTTCGCAGTGCAACCGCAGCTGCAGCCGAAGCCAAGGCTGACGTGCACAGAAACAGGGAGGGGGCCGTCCTGCAACAGCGCACCGTTGGGCGGGGCTGCAGCCTCCTCTGAACACGGGCCCCCCCCTTTAGAGCATCGGCCAGACAAGCCGGGCTTGCACCCACACGTCTTCATGGACGCTGGGCGCGTTTCGGCACTACGACTGCCGCCGCCGCTGTCCGTTCGTCAGAACCACCGACTCGGGCGACGGCGACAGCGACACTGGCGGTGGCCGACACGGCCAAGTTTGAAGGGGGCTGGTAGGCCCAGCCAACAGCTTCGCCTCAGGCGAAGCCAAGCTCCCGCTCTGTTGTATCGTAGTAACGATAGTGCCAGTACAAGAGGAGATGCCATCTCAAGCAAGAAGGGATACCTTTTGGTCTCGATAGCGATTGTGTGCCTCGCGGTGAGTCACAGTCAAATCTGGGCGGCCAGCCGCTTGAGCCAAGGCGGCCGCGGGCGCACACTCGTTTCCACTCTTTACGTCCCCCAGCTCGCTGTAGAGTCGGGGGGGAGGGAGACGAAGCGTGCGTCCGCCACCCGTATAGCAGGAACAGTTCAGCAGCTAACCTATACAAAGACAGGAAAGGAGACGGGCCGTAGACCCGCCAGCAAATTGCCTCACATTTATAACGTACTCATCAGGCGGCCTCAAAACTTCTTGTCTGGCCGGCCCGATACGGAGTATGCATTTTCTGGTCATGTTTACAGGTCTGTATACCTCCCATGACTTGTAGGAGCATCTCTCTGTCGATGCCCCCCTTGGTGTGTCCATCCGCAGTCATGTCGAAGGGATCACACCACTGAATGCTATGCACGATTCCACGCTCCATCATCTGTCGTATCCAACTGATGTGTCCTAAAAGGGTACACTCAGTCGGATTATTCAAGTCATTGCTTGACAAGGATTTAGAAACAGACTCAGCATCGATGGTCAAGGTGACCTTGGTGCTCAGGCCACCCAACTCAAGTATATCTTTCAACTGGGTGGGCGTGAGCGGCCCCGCGTGGAGCTCGTGAAGAGTCACAATCGCGGGATAACAGTCCTCCAAGTTATGGGCTGCTGCAAAGTGTCTCTGCTGAGTAGCTTGACCGGACTTGCAAGCGGTGAGACTTACAGTACGCATCAATCAAGTGAACGACAGGTTTGCCAGATGACGTGTTTCCACGTCGTAGCAGGTTTGCCCCGCGAATGCCATAGCCCTTGACGTCGTCATCGGCGTCTCTACTCAAGCGTCGATAGCCTGAGTCGCTATGAAAGTCGATCTCGCCCGTGGGGTTCATGGCATGGTAGATGATCTTGTCGGGGAAGCCTGTAACTTTCTAGTGATCGCGTTGAATAGAGGCTTCACGGGCTTCAACGGGCGTCAAGGGAATAGAGGTTTCAAACCGAATGGAGGCGTCACGAGCTTCACCGGGCGTCGGGGGGATAGAAGCTTCAGGCCGAGTAGAGGCTTCACGAGCGTCACCGGGCGTCAGGGGAATAGAAGCTTCAGGCCGAATAGTGGCTTCACGAGCTTCCCTGGGCGTCAGGGGATTAGAGGCTTCGGACCGAACAGAGGCTTCACGAGCTTCACCGGGCGTCAAGGGAAGAATGGCTTCAGGCCGACTAGTGGCTTCACGAGCTTCACCGGACGTCAAGGGAAGAATGGCTTCAGGCCGAATAATGGCTTCACGAGCTTCACCGGACGTCAGGGGATTAGAGGCTTCAGACCGAATAAAGGCTTCACGAGCTTCACCGGGCGTCAGGGGAATAGAGGCTTCAGGCCGAATAGTGGCTTCACGAGCTTCATTGGGCGTCAAGGGAATAGAGGCTTCAGGCCGAACTAGAGGCTTCGCGAGCTTCACCAGGCGTCAGGGGAATATAGGCTTCAGACCGAATAGAGGCTTCACGAGCGTCAGTGGGCGTCAGGGGAATAAAGGGTTCAGGCCGAATAGGCGCGCCTAAGGTCGCTACCCCACCAGTGCGTCGCAATTCGTAGGCCGAATACAGGCGTCACGAGCCGAATTGAGGCTTCGGGCCGAATAGAGGCTTCAGGCCGAAT